CCTCAGTGTCCCCCTGAACCATCGATCCCATTGGTTTTTCCTCCAAATTGTTTATCTTGCCTATCTTATTGAGATAGACATGCAGAGACAATAATGAGCACAAAAACAAGACAAAGCCAGACAAAACAACAAAGGAAGACAAAACAAACTAACAACAACAACAAAACGACGAAAAAAAAGGAAAAGCCTATAAATAGTCCCAGGTTTGTTTGTTGACCTTTAGGAGTGTTTTCCTGTCGAATCTGATGGGGTACCACGCTCTGGCCCCCAAATCTATTTTTGGCATTGCCCAGGGACTTCATTGCTTTGCTCCCCTTGCTGCTCTGTTGCACACCCTTAGTGTTTTGCCATAGTGTAATGGGGTCAGACAGGCGCAATTCTCGCACTGTGTCTCCAGTGTTGGCCCCTGTAGGGCTATGGGTCAGTGAGGGATATTGTGTCTCATGGTGGGGTCGGCTCTATCTCCTCTCTGTGCATTGTCTGCTCTGAGCGGGAATATCGTCCTCAGGGCTTGGTGGGCCAGGATGTGCTCCACTCTCTCTCCCTCCCTCTTCATTTGCTCCCGTGTGCTCTGATCAGACATGTCCCTCTCCCTGAGCTGTAGCTTCAGTGCTGTCCTCTGAAGTGCATTCTTCTGGGGGTGAGGGGTGGTATGGTGGTGTTCTAGTCTATATTCTTAATTTTATTATTTACATATGGGTGTAGGACGTAAAATAAGAATTTAGCTACTTTGAAAGGATAACGATTGTCTTGACAAAGCTACTAAGTAATGAGCATCTCCGGCCCCCAATCTGAAACACCAAATTTATCACATATTAAATATTATCATTTTTTTAAGCATGAGGAAAATGATCATAGTCACAAACAAATATGAAAGACAGAACTCATCTCTACTTTTAACAGAAGAAACTCTGGCAACATCACCACTGCCTCATCAAAGCATTCTGACAACTCTTAACCATTTCCCAAGACTTGCAACAGTGACAGAGAGCAAGGCGGAACCCCAGTTCTCCTCCTATGCTGTATCTCCTACAGGGTGTGGAAGGCACAGTGCACTTCATTCTCTCCAGGGCAGACATCATGGGACCTGAGACCGATGACCATCGGTAAAACCATCACGGGGCAGGATAAAGACAACTCTCGTGTCTGGCATCCCACGCAGCTTTTGTGTGTCGCTGCCCCGAGGTAATGATAGTATGCTGTGTTTGTGCGACGCTGTCCTTACAAACAGGAGAACAGGTCTAGTCAGTCAAGATTGGCTAGAATCTTGGAGCATCCTAGTCTTTAAATAAATTACAACCACTAGGGTTCAGGGTAATGGTTCTTAACTTTTGGTGGTCTTTCCTGCTTGTTTGAAGGATGGAAAATAATCCAACTTCCTGGAAAATAAATCTCAAAATAAGCCACCAGAATAGGAGAACAATGGGAAGGATTATAATCATCACCATCCCTAACAGCAGGAGCAGCTATCAATAGAGAACCTCTTACACAACGATTCTATGCGGTCAAAACGACTCCAAGGATAAAGGTGAAATCTGAAACTTGGAGCCCAAACACACAGAAAGGGCAAGACCGAGGCTTACGCCTGTCTGCTCTTCTTCTTTTAAATATATGAATCATATGACTACAGGATAAGCTAGAACACAGGTATCAATTCCAACGATTACATTCGTCTACAATTTTAAAAACGACACCCACTGATAACCAGGTTTCAGTAAAGCCGGAACTCTTTTATGTTGTCAATCATCATAGAAATGATATGAAGCTTTTGGAAAGCAATTTGGATAAGCCAACCTGTCCTATAGGGTTGCTATGAGTTGGCATTGACTCAGCAGTGAGGATTTTGTTTGTTTGTTGATGGGTAGATAGTAATTAAATAGGCTGGGTAGCATTTCATATAATGAGGGGTGATATCCTTGGTGGCCCCAAGAGGTGCTCCGTGTCCTCTGTGAAATAAGAAAAGGTAGTGGCTAGTGGATTTGAACTTCTGCTTTTGCTTGGATTTAGGCGGTTAGCTGCTACTACAAGGTTAGTAGTTTAAACCCAGCAACCACTCCAAAGAAGAAAGATGAGCTGTCTTATCCTAAAAGATTTACAGTCTCGGAAATTCTATCTTCTGTGTCATATGATTTTTTGACTGCCAAGAGAACATCAAGCAAAGCAAAGTGAATCACAGCATCGTGTTAAGGAGAAGCCTTACAGATGATCTAGTTCCACCTTTTCAATTACGCACGGAGAGAAAACTAATATTCAAGAGATAAAATGAAGCAACCAAAGTCATTGCCAGCGTGAACACCTCAGCATGGGAGTTATTATTCTAAAACATTCCTCAGCAGGCTCATTTTCGTTCCAGTACCAACAAGTTAAAGAGCCTTGAAAAGTTATGTTCCTGATTTGTGGAAAACACATGAACTTGGAACCAATCCTAAATGAAATGGCAGCACTGACTTGTTTACAGTTCTTCCCACTGCAATGATCAGAGCCCTGACTGAAAGTTGTTGGAAGGCTAAGGTTTCGCTGTCAGGCACCTTGTTTCTACCTCATGGCTAAAACGTTCCTTTAAAATTGTGTCCTTCCGTCAACAGGACTAAAAGTCCATTCTGATGTCCTCATTTATAAAATGTTCATAAAAATATCTGAACTACTTTGGAAACATGGCACAATGTAACAGAACTTTTTCTTTTGTTTGTTTTTTGTTAGAAATGCTTTAGTAACCATTTATAGCCACCTCCAGGCTATTTGAGGACCGTTAGAATTTACATCATGCTGCGTGGCCGAGTCTTCTGTAGATGAGTGAATGTTTTAAACAATCTGAAAAAGATGCACAATTGTGAGAGAACTCCTCACACTACCTTTTCTTATTTCACAGAGGACACGGAGCACCTCGTGGAGGAACCAAGGGTATCACTCCTCATTATATGAAATGCTACCCAGCCTATTTAATTACGATCTGCCCATCAACAAACAAACAAAATCCTCACTGCTGAGCCAGTGCCAACTCACAGCAACCACAGAGGGCGGGACAGGACTGCCCGTGAGTTGCGAACACTGTGACTCTTTGTGGGAGTGGAAAGCCCTGTCTTTCTCCCTCAGAGCAGTTGGAGGTTTCAAACTGTTGACCTTGTAGATTGCAGCCCAATGGGTAACCATGGCACCCGGGCTCCCTTACCTAAACCGCAAGCCCAAACCCAACTCCCGGCCATCAAGTCGATTCTGAATCCTAGTGGACCCATAGGACCAGGTAGGACAGCCTGTGTTGGTTTCCGAGACTGTAACTTGACAGCATTAGAAAGCTTCATCTCTTGTTGCAGAGTGGCTGGTGGTTTAGAACTGCTGACCTTATGGTTTGCAGCCGAATGTACAGCCACTACGCCACCAGGGCTTTCCCGCCCCCCCTTTGTTGTAATTATCTATACACAGGGGACTACGAATGCATGTCTCACTAGGCTACATTCCTCTGCCATGTCTCTTACAGGGGCATATGGTCGTTTTTCCTGGAACTTAAAGAAATTAAAAATTTCACATTTACAAGTGGTTTTTTTAACCTGAAGACAAGGTTCTTGTTTGCTTGTGGCTCACCACTGTTCTCTTAACACCTGGCATTGTTAAAATGAATAAACGACAGTCAGAGTTTCTCTTCTGATCAATTTTCTAATCTGCAACGGACCTAGCAGTCGGAGGGCTGTCTTACAGCTCTCTATAAAAGAAGCGCACGGGCACGTCTGGGGGTCTGGGAAGCTGTGGAGTATGAGAGCTGTAGTGGACACATTATGGAATCTTCTACAGCTTCTTGAGAGGCAGTTTTTTATTCACAGCTGCAGTTCAACGAGGGAAGGCTGTCCACTGTCTTGGAGACCGTTATCCAATAGAAGTGTGAAACAAACAAACAAACAAAATGCTGAGCTGCTCAAAGGTGTTTCCGCCTGATCCCAGAGAACATTTAGTGATTGGAGACTATCCGATTTAAAAACAACACTTATTTAGAACAGAGTATGTTCACTCATTCACTGAGATCACAACAACAGAATCACATTTTTAAACCAAAATTTATTTTGCTATTCATAAAATGTCATTTTATATAGCAGATGGTTTGTCAGCCATGCTTGCCAAGTATTTTTTATTTTTTTTTATAAAGAAAATCCTTTAATTCCTATGCTTTTCCAGTCCTCCTTCCCTGTAGGTAATTAAAACAATTGTAAATTAAGATTTCAAATATCTTCTAGATTCAGCATTTATGATTTTTCAAAACCAAAGAAAGGCCTATAAATATTCCTATTCTCTTACATTTAATTTTTCCTTACACATACTAAAAAGTTATATATACTAATCTGCCCTTTAATTTATTACAATATATACATATTTATAGTATATACACTTAGTACTGTATATTTAATTGGTATATAGATTTGCTCCTTATTTTTATAATTTTTTTTTTTGCATGGGATCTGCATGTCAAAACTCTTTGTTTCTTTTTTTTTTTTTGTCATGCATTCTTTTATTTTTTTTTTAAACATTTTATTAGGGTCTCATACAACTGTTATCCCAATCCATACACACATCAATTGTGTAAAGCGCATCTGTACATCGTTTCTCAAAACATTTTCTCTCCATTTAAACCCCCGACATTAGGTCCTCATTTTTCCCCTCCCTCCCTGCTCCCCACTCCCGCATGAGCCCTTGATAGTTTATAAATGGGTATTTTGTCATATCTTGCCCAGTCCGACGTCTCCCTTCATCCACTTTTTGGTTGTCTGTCCCCCAGGGAGGAGGTCACATATAGTTCCATGTAATCGGTTCCCTCTTTCCTACCCATTGCTTGCCAAGTATTAACGCTATGCTTGGCCCATATTATAATCAGCTGTGTTTATTCCACCTGATATTCTACTTAAAAACACACCAAGTAAAAAATACTGTAAATCAACTTAAAATGCTCATGATGACAAATGACTTCACAAAAAGAGAAATTCTTTCTCCTCATCAAATTTAAAATGGTTACTCACCTGTATTAAAAGCTGTAAATACATTTTTTCTTGAAGGACCTAAAACAAAACAAAAATTTTTAATTATAAGATACATGTAACACCACACAAAACCAAACCATTTTCACTTGCACAAATAATCCTATCACCATTAAATTTTAGGTTTCAGAGGGGAAACACCACTGAGATGCAATCGATTTGATTAAGCACATTCTACAATTTAAAATTACATTCCAAATACCATCAGCGTGATCGTTAACGGGTTATATGAATTCTCCTTCTCAAAGGTTACATATGACCAGTTTTAGGTGGCAGACCATAGAACTTTGTGAAATCCAGGTTTCAATCCTACCTAGTTCAAATGTTTACTAAGCACAAAATGCCATTCCTGTAGACAGAACAGGCGAGCCCAAGCTTTGTGAAAGACCCCGACCCGCGTGTGACTTCTGAAATGGCCGGGCATTAGTCCAGTTAATTGGCTATTCAGATAGAAGAAAAAATATTTAAGTGATTTCTCCAAACTGAAAGACACCGACCCGCGTGTGACTTCTGAAATGGCCGGGCATTAGTCTAGTTAATTGGCCATTCAGATAGAAGAAAAAAATATTTAAGTGTTTTCTCCAAACTGACAGGGTGTCAAGTGTAACTAGGGGTGGTAAAAAGTATAAAAATGCAAACATAAGTCACTATATGAAAACTTCATATTAAACAGTCATTTCTAAGGAATATTCAGAGTAATAGCACAGCTGCTACATTGTCTCTGTGGAATTTTACAGAGATGGTAATCTCTTCACATATGTGGCAACTAAAATGGGAAAGCACTGCTTCCTTCTCAAGTCTTTGCGATATAAAAGCTGGCTAATTCAACAGTGAGGCGACTTAGCATGGTGGAGCTTCCTATTCCACCAAGCCACCAGGGGAATCTCTCTCTGTACAAAAACTTGTATCTGTTTTTTTACTAGACTTAAAAAAAAATTGTCCCATAAACCATACACCTGTCAAAAATGTGACTTCTTAGAAGCCAAGTACTTAACCGTGGTCTGTCCTCCCCCTTTGATGCACAATGGGGAACCGTACCTTTTGGAGTAGTTTTTAATAAATGCACGTGGGCTCTGGGTACCAACGGCTTCAAATATAAGGATGCAGAGGAGCCGTTTTGCAATGTTGGTTTTGGAGTTTTTTCCTCATACTTGATGACAGTAGCATTACCAGCTGTGGTAAAACAGAAAAAGAAAAGGGATGCATTTTATTTGGTGGATAAATACAACATCAACCTTCCGTAAGTCCCTCCTTCTTCCGTAAATCGCAAATGTCCACTACGCTCCTGGTGCCCATCACTGCTGAGTTTGGGAATAGAGAGGCTGATGACTGGTTGCTCCCGTCCTCAGGGATGTCTCAGTGCGCAGGCCAAGCTCACACCTTTGGTTTCTATGCCCTGTCCTGTTCAGCTTTCCTCCAATTTGAAAAAAAGCTTTGGAATAAATGATATGGTCCGCCACACTATGTGACCAGCATGCCTAGGGTGCCGCTAGAATTCACCTCCAGGAGGGCAAGCCAAGGGGAGGGCTGTCTGCTGTGTTCAGGATGTGAGAACGACAATGTGCAGATCCACTGGCTGCTCTGAGAACGGGGCCCTCTCCCAATAGGAGCAAGGAGCTGGAACTCCAACAGCTGCTTTGCAGCAAAGGTGCCCAAGGGGGCAGCATAAAAGGGAACCGCACCTAAAGGAAAAGAAAAAAACAAAACATCTTTTCTATTGCATCCACACCTTGCCCCTCTTTCACATCCACAGAGGAATACTCTGGGAGGGGGAAAGATATTCTGGGTGTTGAAGGCATTGCTGATAGAAAAGCCAGTGGGCAATTAACTGAACATTTAACTGTAGCTGTGTGTGGCTATGATGCTGGAAACTATTCCACTGATAGGTCACTGACCAGCGGGGTCGCCCATCGTGGTCAGCTGTTAGCAGAGCTTGCAGACTCGGACGAGAAGCCTCGGAATCTGCTCCGGAAAATTCACCACAGAAAACCTTACGTATCACACAGAACGTCACCCAATAGAATACTGGAGGATGAGTCCCTTCCTAGGAAAGCACTTAACCTAAAAGGGGCTGTAAGAGGTTCCTGGGGGGGGGGGGGGATCCATGATCTTTTAATTCTACTTTTTCCACAAACTTCTGGAAGTCTCCTTTCATCTCTGTTCACACAGTGGCTGCAAGAGGGGACTCAAGCAAGAGGGGACTTCACTGGATCATGAAGATGGCCCAGGAGCAGGTAGCGCTCCGTTCCGTTGTGCTGGGGTGGGCTGCCACAAGTCGGAGCAGACTGGATGGCAGCCCACACTTTTGCTCAGTAGATTGTGCTGTGATGCTGAGCTCCGCTCTGGTAACTTGGCAATGGAGAGGCTCCCACAGAAGTAGACCATCCTAATTCCCAAGGAAGCGGCCAGGGTGGAAATGAAAGGGAAGAATTAAGAGAACAAATACTGTATTTTAGATCACAGGATCTCAGTGATTCCTGGAAAGGGTGCCGTGTGTGTGTGTGTGTGTGTGTGTGTGTGTGTGTGTGTGTCTAAACTCTGATTTTGCTTCTTTCTTTACCGAAAGAGAAGTTTATCAAGTGAAAATGACACCCAAGACACAGGAATACAGCTTTTAAAAATAATACCTGAGAATGGACAGCTCATTAACTTTCTGTCGTAACCAAAGTTTTAAGCCATGGAAAAATAACTGTGGGAAAGCTTCTGGCTTCCGTTTCTTTCTGCTTTTGCCTCATAGTGACTAAAGAAGTCTTCGGAGTCAAAAACAAAATATCTTTCAGCCACAAAAGACACATTTTTAAGTCCCTTCTAAAAATGCGACTTTCTCTTTCATGCCACTGGTTAAATCGGGGGCTCCTTCTTGCAGAGTATCGGTGAGATTGTATTTGTGCTAGTGGAGGGAAAAGGAATAAGAAGACTTATTTCCACAACTCTGAATTTCATATGAGAATCCATTTCAGGCAATACTTGTGCTGAGGGTGTATCTGGTGTATCAAGACCTATGAACAGTACAGAGGAGCCATGGTGGCATAGTGGGTTACAAGTTTGAGATGCTAACCGCAAGGTTGGCAGTTCGAATCTATCGATTGCTCCACAGGAGAAAGACAAGGCTTTCGACTCCTGTAAACAGTTACCGTCTCAGAAACCCACAGGGGCTGTTCTACCCCGTCCCACAGGGCCACTACGGGCTCGATGGCAGTGGGTTTGGTTTTGGTTTGAGTGCATCTCTGTTCTGATGAGATAAATGACTATTCTATAAAAACAACCACCACTCCCCCCATTGATAAGTCCTATTTTGAGTAGAGGGATTAAACATTTTAACCTCCTATAAATGCCAAACATCTTATAGGAAGTATTTTAAAAACAGGGCCAGCACATGAAAAATAAAACCATAAAAAGGTATTCAAAATTGAACAAAGTGCAGTTTAAAAAGCCCAGCCTCTGCAATGATGCATTTAAAAAAATGTTATCTGAAAAAACAATCATCCTGAATCCAAGGCTTTCTTTTAATTCTCCAAAATGAAATTATTTTTGAAAACATACACTCTTCAGAAGCTTAGCTCCTAAAAGGCATTTTCACGGCATTGTTTTTGCTCTTCGTACAAGATGACTCTTTTGATGGGATGACTAAGACTGCAAATTCAGCATTCGGTCCTTGTCATTCAGCTAAGAAACGAAACCCAACAAAAACACTCGGAATGCTTTCTGGTGACCTCAGCCTGTGAGAGCAGACGCTGTGGCTGCCTTAGGAAGTGAGTGCTCGTTCCCCGTTCCCCGCTTGCTCAAACCACACAAACCACGGAGACACTCAAGTCCCATGGACTCACTGAGTCGACGCAGTCGGGAGGTTATCTCACTCGTTCCCTGATTTCCCAGCTTCATTTCCCCATCACCCCCAGACCCCCACTGGAGTTACTGGTTGCCACAGAATTCACGGTATCAAATGCTAAGCACACAATTCCATTTAATAGCCAACACTTGCCATCACAATTTCTTTATTACCAGCTTAGAGGCCTGCTTTCAACGTACATTTCTAGCCAAGTGTGAAATGAGATGACTCCTTTGTAAACACTTTCTAAATGGGAAGGTGGCCAACAATGCTCACTGTGCTGAACGATCCCAACCCCTACAACGGTCATCTGAAGCCCGTGGAGGCATACTGCTATTTCCCCTGGACAGCACCAGTCCCTCTCGATGAGCCATGTGTGAATCTCCTATGCCCCACAACACCGCCAATATTAGGCCAGCCTTTCCACTTGCTGATGAACTTCTCTCAATTTCCTATCCTTTCCAATTCTAGCCTTGCCATGAACCTAGAGACCTAGATATCCGGAAGGTGACAGAAATCTAGTGGAAAAGGCAGCACTGAAGCTATTTCCACTGTAAAACCAGCAGGGTTGTCTTTCTTTCTTTTAAGGATGGATAGGAAATGGCTTCATGAGCTGAAAATGACAGAATCAAAAATATCATAAGGCATAGCTTTTTGGATTTGCATATAAACTGAATATTGTGTTTCAATTAGCATATGAACTTCAGAGTAACCAAAATCTAAGAAAAGAAGTGAATGATATTATCATAGAATATTAATGAAGATATACAAGGGGGCTTCAGAAAGTTCATGGAATAATTCCATTAAATTTAATTAGATTTTCCACAACACTTTTGAAAACTTTTTTGCAATCTGGTAATAAAACCAGGTTGTACTATTCCATTAAATTTAATTAGATTTTCCACAACACTTTTGAAAACTTTTTTGCAATCTGGTAATAAAACCAGGTTGTACTATGACAATCTGGATTTTAGTCTTACTTTTCTTGAAACTTTTTTTTTTTTTAGCAGCAAGTAAGTCAAATCACCAATTCAGAAAAATTACATTGAGTTCAATTTACAGACCTAATATAAAGTTGTACGATTCTCACCTCTGCGTAAGCCTTAAACACAAAGACCTTCCTCTCACAAAGGCTTCAATAAAAGGATTTCTCACTAAAGCAAAAGACACATTTCTTTCGAAGCACAATGCTCCTGTCCCTTGGGCCCCCGTCACACAGAGAGCAGGAGGTGTTGTCCTGGAAACTGTCTCCCTGCCAATCCTCAAACTCACTGCAATCCCACGGCCATCAACTTAGTAACAGGCAGGAGTCAAAATCCTCATTTCAAGGGTGAATATTTTGAGTCTGACTTAGGTACATAGACATGGGGATAGTTCCAGCTGTATGTAAATACATCATTGCTATTTATTTAAACACGCTACGGCCATGCATTCCACAGCTTCTCACTTTTACCCTCTCCTCTGTTACTAAGCTGTAGAGACGTTGTGACTCACGTCCAACATCTGCTTCCAATTCTCTCAACACCATGCTGCAAGGTGGAGCGTTGATTTCAGCAATGTGCTTCAAGTAAAACTTGACAGACGTCTTTCCTATGGGGTATGAGGATGCCCTTACAGTCATTCACGTCCCCTAGGCTTGACCTCCTGACATGGCAGCCTGGTGGGTAAACGGATGATCTCTAAATTCCCCCTAGTCCAAACCTACTATACTCCAAACAATAAACTCTTCAGCGACAACCATCTAATATAACCAAGGAGGCACAATAGTGTCAAACCATGAAATGGTATTCCCAATATCTGAATTCCGATTCTGACGTGGCTCCACTGCAGCTGTGCTGAATCATTTTACTCGTCTGTGTGCTGTGAAGAACCCATTGTGATCAAGTTCATTCTGGATCTTGGTGACGCCATGTGCTACAGAGCAGAGCTGCCCCAGAGCGACTCCTTGGGTGTAATCTCATAGCCTTAAACACAGGCACAGAAGCAGATCAACATGCCTTTCTGCCGTGGGCTGCCGGGTAAATTAGAAGCAAACAGCTTGTACCACCAGGTACCCTGTGTATGATAAAACCATAACTCACCGCCATCAGATTGAGGCCAACTCAGAGTGACCTTCTAGGACAAGGTAGAACTGCCCCTGTGGGTTTCCAGGACTGTAACTCTTTACGGGGGGTAGAAAATCTAATCTTTCGCCCACTGAGGGGCTGGTGGTTTCAAACTGGTCATGTTAAGAGTAGCAGCCCAATGAATAACAACCATGCCACCAGGGCCCCAGTGACTGTAGAATAACTAGATGTAAATATTGCAAAAGTAAATATGCATGCTGTCACACGGAGCCCTGGTG